ATGCGTTTGTTTGAACTACACACAAGATTTTTTCTACGATCATACCAAAATAAAATAAATTGTTTTATTTTATTTTATTAGAAATGGGTTACCTTCTTTCGTTATAATATTGTAAGTTTATTTGACATAAGTCTACTCTTTAAAGAAAAAAAATTGTTTTAGTACTTATATGTCGGTAATTATTAATTAGTGATTTATTCATTCAATTTTTTACGGAAAATACGGTTGGATGATTTAAGATATTATGAAGTCAATTAAAATATTTATTTAGGCTACAGTCTGTGTTAAAATAAGTGCTAGCTCTATTTTATCTATAAATAAAATTAGGCGTGTGCCAAAGTTACTTTCCGCTTAAGAGCGCCAATAATGTCAAATTATGACAGCTTGCAGAAAACATCAACTTTGCAGTTACTTTTCAAGGCGCAAAGGCCTACTTTCGATAGTGATAAAGTTTTTGTTTGACATTTAGTAATTCATACGAACTGTTAATAAGTCAAGCAGTGTTACTTAACTGTTAATAAGATGGCACAAAACCGAAGAGTAGTTCTTACAATTTGAGAAAAAGTTGAAATTATCCGCTTATTTGAAAATAATGAAATATCTACGCATCAGGTTACTGGAATTTCTTACGATACCGTTGCCAAAATCAACAGATTGTTCGCAAGGACTGAAGCGGTTTTCGAGACAAGACCGCTGAACTGCAACTGTTACTGGAACGCTAGTAACAATACAAGCGCGAGAAAATTTTAAGCCATCCATGCATCGTCGAATGGGGGATATTTATTTTGAAAGTCCTGTACTCTAAGGTTCGTGCGCTTGCGTATGACTTACATGGTAGCCGTTCGCCTACGAACGCTACGAACGTCGATCCAATGAAAAACACGTATCTGGTTATTTGACCACGCATGCGTCAACGCGATTCTAAAATGACAAAGTAGGTTTGTTTTGGATACGAAATTATAACGAATTTATAATTATTATAATTATAACCAATAACATCTACAAATATAGGTAAAACAAAATAACGAAATATAATTCATTTTGTGGAATTTGTGGTTATGTCTTGTCAAATTAAATGTCAACATTCGCAGCGACGAACGGTCAACGAATTTATAAATTAGGTCCAGCGCGAACTCACCAACTCGAACTGAGCGTGCAGGGATCCCAGATGTACTGAGCCTAAATTCGTGAGCTTGATCATAAAAAAATCGTGAGAAATCGTGAGATTGTACTACGCATGCGCAGTTTAGTTCTTAGTCATCCTCGCTTGGTGGATAATGGCACAATGCCAAAAGCGCTTTGCATTTATTAATTAAAAAGTTTTGCACGAAATACAAGTCTTTCCTTTTGAATCTAAACTACGTGCACACAGCTGTCAACCTTTTTTGGTTATTTTAAATAGATATAGTATTTTAGATTTTTATGTACTTTGTTCGAGCGAAGAGCAGGGAATGGCAGACTTTCAAATTTCAGTACCTCTCTAACACGTATGATAAAGACAAAAATAATTAGCAATAGCATTATCGATATTATCGATAGTGTATTACTATCGAAAACTATCGATTGTTGTAAGTAATCATCGATAGTTTAAAATTACATGTTTTTAGTAGTTTTCAAGTTTATTTTCACGGAATTCAAAAAAACTAAAATTAAAAATAAACCAAATTTATAAGAATGCACTCAGCAATTCAGCACTAGATGTTAAATCTGTATTGAAAATTGGCCTAACTAATAAATATTTTTTTTAGTATAAATAAAATGTATTACTTTATTTCACTACGTATCAACCGTTGAATCAAGGTTGGTATAGTTTCGATAGTACTATTGATAGTAACTTTTGAGACTATTGGAAAATATCGATAGGGCCAACTATGGAAAGTATCCGACCACTTGCTGGGGACTGCCAAGTGTTAGTGGTCCGTCATGTTTCGGCCAACGCATTAGCACGTTTCAGGGTCGGACTCTACAGCCTAATTCAATTGTTTGATTAATTAAAAAGAATCTCTTTTATATAAAAACTGAAGGTTTGTTTCTGCAAGCAACTTGTTAAAAAATATCGTGAGAATCTGGCGCTTTATCGTGAGATCGTGAGAGTAAGTACTGAATCGTGAGATCTCATGATAAATCGTGAGATCTGGGATACCTGTGAGCGTGAACTAAACGCTAACTGAACGTAGTTTATAAATCCAGCTTAAACCGCCATTATACCAGTAAGTTCAATTCTATTTATCGTATTAATTACCTATATAAAAATACATTTTTCGAATCGTGCAATATATTTGCAAAATTAGTCAGCTATATCCTCGTGAGTTTTAAAAGGTGCGGTTAGTCAGCTTGATTTAGTTTAAACATTTTCATTAACTTTCGAACATCTAAAACTCTGTTTCCAGATCTTTTTATTAATAATAATTGTGAGCTTGTTAACAGATACCATGTCTTTTTTCCATTTTTAATTATTTGTTAGTTATGAGTATATTTTATGTATAAACAGTTTTGTTTTAAACTCCTTAAATTTATGTTAATATTTATTTTAATGCTTAAAACAAAATTAGGCTGACTAAACGCACCTTTACAACGTTCTAACCTTACCAATTATATTACAATTATGGCAATTTCATAATATTATTTTTGTACCCTAGGTTGACAAGCAATAGGTACCTAAGTTGGATGAGCGCTTTAGGAAGAAATCTTGATTTAAAAAACTTAGTACCCATAATGTAGTATGAAGTGCACACTTTACTGAGGCTGATTTTATATATGTAGACGAATATAGAAGTGTGAAACGCTGTACCTTGGTTAAATTTGGGACCTCTTAAACTATTTAAAATATTTTTTTTTCAGTCAAACCAAAGAAAGTAGTGATTCTTAAAAATTCTGTGCTTTATTATTCAAACAGAAATATCAACATTATAATAAAGAAAAGGAAAATCATCAGCAGGCATCCTATCCTTCACAGATTTTTTTTTTTTTTTCGTACAGGTGTATTTGTGAATAACTGAAACTTTATTAAACTATAATGCATATTTGTAGAATACCAGTAATGAAAATAGTAGTGGGGTGATATACCTGGTACTACTAAGATATACTTCACATCATTCAGCAACTCGAAATCATATAATGATGAGATGTTCCAGGAATATGATTTTCCACACGAAATAGCTCAAAATGTAGATATTTCTAATGATTACAGGTATGTTCTTTAAATATAATTATACAATATCGTCGGGTGACAGGTACCTTAGAAGTAAACTGCACTATGTCGACATAGTGTAGTTTGATAAAAGTTATATTTTTAAACTCAGCTAATCGAGACCTATACTACACCATGTATTAGTGACGTCACAATAAAAGTTAGCCAAAAAATATAACACTATGTTCAATAAACTTACAATGTAAACAACACTGTGTACATAGTGTTTTTAACTCTTGTTAGTCGTATTATTCATAGAGGCATGTTGGAGGTATATGACACTAAGTCAGAACATAGAAATATGTCATGAAAACCAACAATTTATTCAAAGAATATTTTATTAGTTAGATTAGTAAACAGTACATAATGTGACAATAATTGAATCTAACTCAATTTCTTGTCCATAAAACGAGGCACAAAAGTGTTGTAGAGTGGAAAACTTCATTAATTGCAGTTGTTTCAAAAAACACGAAAGAAAAAATCATTAAATAGTATATTGTGCAACAAGTGCACAAAGTTTAAATTTTTTACATGATGTGTGAAACACAAGCCTGGAATAGGTTTTCTGCACTAATAGCACACTACTTTTTCTACGATTACAATGATCAAACCACCAATCACTATTTTTTTAATAGTTTACTAAACTATTAATTTAATTTTTCTATAATTTCAATGAATTAATATTTACAACATTACAATTAGAAATATTAAAAGGTGGTAAATCATGACATTGAATGGTTTTTTTTTCATGTGTTGTTTCTTAAATAGATATTCTGCTAGTAGAAGCTTCAGATTTTTCAGTTCTATGTCTTTTTCTAAATTAACTAATTTTTCTAGTAATGAATGAATTATTTCATGTTTATATTTAATTAAATACGTTCTTAAATTGTAACATTGTTTTTTTCATTCATATTAAAGGTTATAAGACAATTGGATGCACTAAACAGTGTGGAATTACTGTGTAGAATATTTCCACAATATTTATGGATGTGTGCGGAATTGTGTACTTCGACATTTAAAAAACAATAATTCAGAATATGATTTTCGGTAGTGGTCGTCGTACACCTCATTAGTTGCAGAAACAACGAGTTTTACATGTCAAATTCCTCAATAGCACTATTCTGAATATAATACCCAAATTTGAGCTTTTTAAAATTTACCAAAGTTAGAAGTTACAACGCCACGTTAGGTGCTGCCTCCTGGTGTAATGCACTTGTAACTAATGGTACCATAAAATCTCAGTCAAAATATAGTAGTTTGCGTGTCATTTATCAAGATTTCGTTTTTTTTTTTTTTTTGGAAAAAAAAGGGCAAAAAAGTTGGTATATCTACTAACAAATAAACCGAAAAAAAAGCCAGTCCGAAATTAGTTGGAACGCTGTGGGATCTTTAATTATAATTTGATCCCATAATAAATTTAGAAATAATTAATTGGAGGACGTATATTATATCTGTAAAATGAACGATATGTCGTGTGTAACAAAAAGCCCAAATCGGAATAATAATAAATATTTGATACCTAGCAACGAGGTGATACATCTTTTGTCTTTATAGAACTGCCATGTAATAAAAGTTTATCAAGGGATAAGAGGTATTTGACGCGTGTGACACAATGCAAGTATGAAGAAGATATGTAGAGCATGTAAGTCACTTCATTTTCTTATTTGGAACTACTGCGCAAGATCGTAACGGTACAACGTACAGCTTTTCCGCTCTGTTGGAACAAACCTGGAATCTGCAGTATCCAATTTTATATAAAAACCTCCATGTATCAGAACGCAAATAAAACAAACTATAATCAAAGACTCACCTCAGCAAAATCGTTAAATGAACGTCATGGCTAAATCGGTCCAGTGCGCTAGTACCATCTACCCTCACGGCGTTAACCTTGTCTCTGAGAGAAGAAGAATTCCCCACAGGAGGATGTCGTTCCCTTAAGATATCAAAGATATTCGGTTGTCTGAGGAAAGCCACCACTTTATCGTTGTAAGCCACAGGTACTTCGGGGATGTTACACGGCGGTAAAGTATTGGCGGTGGATGAGGTTGGACGAGGAGGTGGCGTTGGAGCCTGAAACAAAAGAAAAACGATGTATAATTACGTCATTCATATTTAAAATATTGAAACGGTTAATTGCATTATTAAGCTATGACAATAGTAGATAAGCATAGGAAGTTAAAATAGATAATGATGGATAAGTTGTATCTGAAGATGGCATATACGGATATAGAAGAGGTGAATACTTTTTAATACTTAGGAGCAATACTACATTAATAGTGTGAACATAATTTGAATTCCAATGACTGTTAACTGTTTACAAAAACAATTCTGGCATTGAATTTAAGATATTTTATAGTTGCACTTTATTATTTTTTTAAATATTACTTGCTGGTTTTAAAAAAGTATTTTAAAGGTATGTAACCAAATTATTATTATTATTAATGTAAACCTATATACTCTATTTTTATAAGACTACTCTCACTGTCCAAATCTGCAAATGAATGTTAATATGTATTTTGTTAAAAATATAATTAAAATTAAAATATTGTGTAAATATGTTTACTCTTTGTATTAATCAACGTTCTATTTCGTATTTAGAATGATTGATCATTGGTACAATAAATAAGGCCAATACCGTTTAAAAATCCACAGGGAATACAACCACAAATAAATAAATGCTAAATTTTGAGGACAGTAGACAGGAAGGTAGCAAGATAGCGACACGACTAAATAAATAGACGTTAAATTTTGAGGTAAGTAGGTAGGAAGATGCCGACACGAAATTCAAATTTTGCGGTGCTGCCATTTTAGGTATGAATATTTTCAGCCATTACTCAAACACCATAGTCAATTATAAAATTTCAGCATTTCACATATTTGCAATTCTGAATGCATAGGGACTAAACTTAAGACACCCAAGAAGCAGAGGTAAAAAAAAGTTAAACAAACCTTACTATGGGATTAATAATAAATGCCTATGTAAAAAAGTAAGAAAAAGTAAGAAAAAATAGAAAACAAAAACTGAAGTATTTAAATCGATATTCAGACCAGTATATTCGGCTGTGAATCATGAATGTTGAATGAAAGACAAAAAAGGTAAGATATAAGCTGTTGAGATTAAGTTTCTGAGAAGCTTACGATGGGTGATCTAAAGAGATAGTCGGTCGCTCGCTGGCGACTCTGTAAGGTATTTAAAGCATCGATCATAATCCAGCCATATGGGACCAGTCACAGTCTGGATGGGTTACCAAACCCGCAGAGCTCGAGGCCCATCAAGACGGTGGAAATGAGTTAAATGAATGGGAAAGAGTAGGGTATTAAAATTATGATGATATAAGCCAATGCGGATGTAGTGCCAGCCATGAAAACCCCATAGAAGAGCAAGCAGGCTGGAATCCAAGCCTGATTGGGGGCAGCTAGGCTGGAACCACAGGTGTATTGGAATGAGCCTGTCGTAACTCCTTAGAAGAAGCAAAGGAAGCTTGAAAGGGTAAAAAAAATAAAGAGAGAGAATGGGAAGAAAATACATAAGAAAAGAATTGGAAATATCATCTATTGAATTTATTGAACAAAGTTGGAATAGTAAAGACATTTAATTAGGATGGACAAATCGAATCCAGTCAGAAGTATACGGGCATCAAGAGTACAGAAAAAGAGGAAGGCCTAGACAAACATGGAATAATAAAATAATCAATATACTACAAAAGAAAAGAGCTATTTAGAAGCAAATAGGATGACCAGAAACAAGAAGGAATAGAAGAAGTTTATACATAATATAGTTGAAATACAAGACACATTCCTAACAACATTAAAGTAGTAGAAAGAATAAATTTTTTGCTAAAAATTATAATAATAATTATTAATTACTTAAAATAAAATTAGTATTATTAATAAAAAAAAATGTGCATATTCTTGTTTTGGTAAAAAGCTTAAATCATACTTACTTGTGCGTCTTCTAACACCCTTCTAGGTACTGAAAGATCGAGTGGCAATCTCGGATCCATGTACGTTGTTTTCTTGTTAGTATGATCAATGAAAAATTGCTATTCCATTCCAAAAAGGAAGCATGAATAAGGAAAAAGGGAATATGTTAGTAAAGAAACTATAAACATACAGATTCAGCCTTAATTTTTCTTGGGTATTGTCGATTTACTGGAAGAACTGCGATAGCTTTATAAAGGGCGAGCACGCCCGCCTTAAATCCCACTCTGTTTGCATGTCGTAGTCGACGGATGGGATCTGTCTGAATCGTGGGATTGCTAACGCTTTCTACTTTCTCTTATTCTCGCTTTATATGAATATTCTTATTTCTGTTGCTCCTTATAGTTTTGTACTATACCCAAGAAAAATTTAGGCCGAATATGTAGAATAAATACTAAAGTTAGTGTTAAAACAGAATTTTTAATTTTGAAGATTGTAAAAATCGTAATTTACGTAATTTCGTTTTCCTGAATTCAGAAAATTACAAATTAAAATTCTGTTTTCAAGCTAAACCGATTAAAAAATTATGCTTAACCGTCCAAAACCTCTTAAACTACACACATTTATTACGACATACTATTTAAATTAAATGAATTTTTATATTTTGTAATAATTTCCTTACCTTTGAAGTTCTATCTTTTCTGGTGTCCCAACCGTTGGGCAATTCCTGAGTTGCGTCAGCAAATAAATTGACTAGACTGACCAACTCCTTGTTGTGCTGGTATTTTTCAAAAGTGTTTGGATCCCTCCGGATTTTTACTATCATGTGCCTCAAAGTTGGGTTTCTGTTATACAAAGCTAAAGCCTCCTGTAAAACAAATTAAATAAGGATAAATAATTTACGAAGATTTTACACTTATATAGGTCAAATGACATGAGTAAATTAGAAATGGTCAGTGAAACGTATGTCAGGAACCCGGTGGATTTTTAATTTCAACTCTCTAAAATAAAATGATTAAAATTGATCAACGTATTAGTAAAAATCCATTACATAATTTTAAACTGTGCCTCCCCATGCAGTAATATAATATCTTAGGATTGATTCGGCTAGATAAATATAAAGAATTATCAATTTTTTAAAGTAATAGTATTTTACGTTATAAGCCCGTTACCTAGATCTTTAAATGCGGGCACGGTCGTTAATGTGCGAGCACCAACAAGCACGTTATATGATTGTGAGAGCACGTAGAGATCGGGTAACGGGCGTGTATTATACAACGTTTTAGGATATACTACAATTTGCTACATTTTACAACCTAAAATCAAATAAAATTGTATCATTTGACATCATCATTTCCGAATGTGACTTAAAATAACTACAATTCAGTTACAATTGACAGTTCAATCATAACTGTTGTTAAAAATTTTATGATATAATGATATGTTATACCGTAGTGACTAACCTCTGTTTAAAGTTGTTAAGGGAGTCATAACGGGCTAGCCCATAAAAATTTTAACAATGGTTACCTGAAGCGTCATTATTGTAAGTCACATTCGGAAATATGTAATGATGGTGTCAAATTATAACATTTTATTTAAGGTTGTAAAACGTAGTAAATTGCAGTATATCATAAAACATTGTACGATACACGCCCGTTACCTGATCTCTACGTGCTCATACGTAAAGCTCTAGGTAACGGGCTTATAACGTATTACCCTTAACAATCATAAATAGAGGGTGATTATCACGGTATACCATTGCAGTACATCATAAAATATCTTTTAGAATCTAGAATTGATGTACAGGGTGGACAAAAGTTCCTAGTTGATTTTAAAATGTCAATTTTTTTTCCAGATAAATATTTCTTATTTCTTTTCAGACTTTTGTAGTACATACATAAGAGTTTGAAAATGGAAAGACTCACGGTGAAAAAAGAACTAAAAACTGTATAATTTTATTTAGAAAATAATCATTCTATTATTCTTACTCAAAGAGCATATCGCCGATATTTCCATGAGAAATGGCCCATAGGAAATGACAATAGTCAACATTATTCGCCATTTTCTTCAAGAATAGGGCTTTGTTGCTGATTTGCCTCGAACAGGAAGATCGCGTTCTGCCTTTAAAAATGCAAAAGAGGGTGTACAGAAAGACGCCATCAACCCGGAGAAGATCAAGGCAATTGGAGCTGTCTCGAACTTCCTTTGGGGGTATTTTAAGACATTTGGGTTATTTTCCTTACACATTCCAGCTTGTGTAACAATTGCTACCCAGGATTATGCCCATCGATTAAATTTTTCCCGTCGGTTTCAACAGCTTGCTAGAAAAGAACTACGTTTCATAAATCATCTCATAATGAACGACGAGGCTCATTTACACCCAAACGGTTTTGTTAATACTCAAAACTGTCAAATATGGAGTACGAAAATTCCAAGGGCCCTCCACCAACGTCAACTACACCCTGTCAAATGTAGAGTATGGTGTGGGGTAACAGCTCCATTCTTTTTTTTATAATGACGACGGCAATGCAGTAACTATTACGGGAAAACGATATAGACAAATGATTCAAAAACTTTTACGTCCGGCGATTCAAAATGAAGCAGAGCCACAGCTCACACAGCTGGGGCCACAATAAACTTGCTAAGACAAATTTGTTTTGGAAGACGAATAATTGCAAAGTGAGCAGATATTGAATACCCACCACGTTCCCCAGATTTGACAGCACCCGAATTTTACCTTTGGGGTTACCTGAAGGAAAAAGTTTGTAGAAATAAACTTCGAACACTTCAGCAATGGGAACATTATCGAAACAGAAATTCAGGTGATGACAGTAAGAATATTAAGAGCCGTTATGGAGCATAGCATAGAAAGAGCAGTTTTGTATGAACATGAAAATGGTCCTTAATTTGCGTGATGTTTTTAACACGTAATGCAAAAAAAACTCCATCAACTGAGCTACATTTCAGTAAAAAAAAAAACAACAAAAATGTTATTTTAATTTTAAATCACCTAGTAACTTTTGGTTCACCCTGTAATAGAGCTCTTAAAAGCTTACTAATATTGTATTATCTGATCTGATATAAGAATATGTTGATTTATAATAACCCCTAGGTATTTCATGGTAGATAAATTTTTCAATATTTGTACAATTACATTTATTATTTTTACAATCTAGTTTATGTAGTTTTATAGTAATGTCTTGTGGTTAATTTGTGACTAATGCAGTAAAAGTTATCGAGTAGAAGTTTTTATTTCATTCCAATTAATATCAGTTACGAGTAGAACTGTATAATTAGCATTATAGATTAAATGTCCGATTAAGTTATTTAACTGCGTGATATTTTTGTGCAATAAGAGAGGTATTGGACTATTCCTTGAGGAATACCAATTTTTACTTGTGTGGTAAACCTTACTTCACTTCCAATCTTTACTCTTTGTGTTCTATTTGATAAATAATTGCTTAGCAATTTAAAGGTAGCACTTCGAACACCATAATTACTTAATTTGGTTAGTAACATTTTTCTAGCAAATCTATTACTGCATTTTCAGTGTTAGAATTTTGTACAAAACCATATTGTCTATGTTATAATGTTTGTAAAGAAAAGTGATAGCAATGACTATTTTTTTTTATAAATCAATCAGATATCATTGTTTTTCCACGCTTTCAGATATCCTTCTGCTCCCTTCTAAATGGTTCTAGCAGGTAGTTCCACATTTTGGCTTGGGTTTCAACATGGCTCCCCCAATCATATTTAGGTCCCAACCCGGCTCCTACCAATCAGGCTTAGGTTCTAGCCTGCCTTCCTTCCTCTTGGGTTTACATAGCGACAATGCAGTTTCATGGTCGTATTGTCTACAAGTTCGGTCACCCATTCAGACGTAATGTGCTGTTAATACTATAAGCGATGAAACGTATTTTAAATAAATTGGTTCCAATTAGATACTAAAATAAGGTGATATATCTGTATGGAACATTATCAGTAATATTATAATAGTATTCGCATAAATTCACTATTTTCTGAACCACTATTTACGGTCTACTAATGTGGTATCACAATTTGAACGACATGTGTGGTTAAATAAAAAAAATGATACCGTATCTTTTTTGTAAGAGTAAGTCAGACTTTCAAATCGGTTTCCTGAACAATGACTATTTATATACATACCACCTCTGTGCACTATTCAATCGATATCATCGGTTTTATTTAATCTTGCGAATGAATTTGAAATCTTCACAAATAAACTCTTATGCTCAAAGAACATAAAATCCATAAAAACACGCAATGAATTATCTAGGATTCCATATAATATTGTGGGATTGCCAGTAGTAGCCTTACACGTCACACTAATAGAGTATATTTAAATGTAAGATTATCCCTATTAAAGGACTAATTTTGGCTCAATCCACTACAAAGTACAAACATAATAGTGTTCAAGCTTCATTTTTAGACAGTACCTAGGGTAAGAAATACCACAGAAAATATTTAGTCGGTATTACCATACTAGTGAGCAATTTTTGACTAGCCACCTCGAATTTTAAAAGAAATTGAATGGCACATATACATAAAAGTATCATAGTTCACCTGATACCACCATAATTTACAATTCAGATGAAGTAATTTTAAACTTTAAAATCAGTCGCAATAAATGGATAACTATGTATGATAAAGAGGAATTTTCTATCCCTATTTTTCACACAAAATGTATTTAAAATCCAAACGCTGAACATTTATTTCCTACCTGATTCATGTGTAAAGCGGTAAAAAAATCCGGCCTCGTCAATAATCTACAGCCAGGAGATGCAGAAGATACGTCCACGACTTCCAATCTGTTCGAACTGATGGTCCTTCTTATACTTTGATATCGCCTATCGAGTTGCCTTCTGTGCTGGTCGGCACCAGCTGTTGGAACGGAGCTGGTACTTCCTCCAGGTCTGGTCCAGGAAGTTGTACGAGTAGCGTGATCTATGTAGAACACACGCCCGTGGCTATCCATTCTTGCTTCCCAAGCTAGAAAAGAAAAATTATATTTTTCAAGATCATTTATTACTGATTGGTATTCTATTAGAGAAACTAGATACTTAGAAACATGTTAAAAAAAATTTTAAATTCAAGAAAACCTCGGCAATTACAAGATGCTATATTCGGACAAAATATTGGAGAAGGTGAGTTATATGCATGATCAACACTGTTGTCTATGAATGAAAATTCCGACAGAGTTAGCATAGGCGGCGTATCAAATACCAAATAATTATTTATTATTTATTAGGTATTTGTTAGTAAAATTTATTAAATTTGTTTGTCAACATCTTTATTTAAACAAAGATGATGCGTTAAATATGCGTTTTTGATAGTTTTCAAGAAATAAATATATTTATTCCCTAATGACTTCGTTATCTGTGTTTAATGGTTTTAAAATGTGTTTCAAGTAAATAAACGACAGACGGGTTACATATTGAATATTGTCAGCACAGGCACAAAGACAGTTGAAAACTACCTTTCGACGAAGTTAGATTTGTATCGCTTTAACTATTTACGATAATTATTTTATATTTTATAAACACTTTTTTGTATAAGTGCTCTTTTCTGATATACGAGTAGGTGTTCATGTTTGTGCCTTACAATTTGGTAGTGGTAGTGCATATTCGAGGAGTTATATTTATTGTGTAGTATATTAGGTAGGTACTTTAAAAGTTTATTAAATAGTAAAATATTGGTGTCATTATAAATTTAATAAAAACAATTTAATAGTAGAATTATATTGTTACAATAGTAATGGATTCAGAGGCGGGTCCAAGTGAAACCCAATTACGTCGGCGAAAGCCCTTACCAAAGGATGAAAAGAACATTATATGGAAAGTGTATGATGGGCTGAAACAGACACTTCCTACAAATGAAGCTGTAAATCGCAGTTCTTTTTTAACTGGAATATCTGTTTCAACAATTGAACGTATTGTACGCGAAAAGACAAAAAAGGCTCCTTAGAAGCCCCTAAAACACATACCCGTGGTCGAAAATTGTTGAAATTGGACGATAACCGAAAACAAATCATTCGAAGAATTGTACATTCTTTTTTTTTTTTCGAAAACAAAGCCCTAACACTTAAAGTTGTTCTTACGAAATTAAGAGAAAACGAAGAAATTCCATTAATGAGTCGTGAAACTTTACGAAAAATTTTATAGGGCCTAAAATTTCGTTATGTCAAACGGTGTAGGAAATCAATTTTAATTGAGAGGTCAGATATAGTGTCCTGGCGAGAAGAGTTTAGAGCCGCAAAAAAAGATATACTATCTCGATGAAACGTAGGTGAATGCTGGACACACGGTATCTAAGATATGGCAACATACTTTTGTAAGTAGTCATCGCCAAGCTTTTATAGAGGGATTATCTACAGGTTTGAAAGCACCATCAGGTATAAGATAGCGCCTAATTGTTACCCATATCGGAAGTGACAGTGGATTTTTGAAAAATAGCGCTCTTGTGTTTATATCGAAAAAAACAGGAGACTACCACGAGGACATGAATGCGGAATTATTTGAAAAATGGTTTACTGAAGTATTACAGCGTGTAGAACGAAATTCACTTATTGTACTAGATAACGCTTCTTATCACAGTCGACGAGTTAAACGCATTCCGATAATGTCCAGTAGGAAAGCGGATATGCAAACCTAGCTGCGGGATAAAGCAATAACATTTACTGAGGAGATGCTTAAAGTGGAATTAATGGACCTAATAAAGGAACACCGGCATAAATATATTCAATATGTTGTCGACACAATGGCTCGTGATCGTGGTATTACAGTACTAAGACTTTCCCCTTATCACTGCGAATTCAATCCTATTGAACTAATTTGGGCGCAAGTGAAAGGGTTTGTAGCTCGAGAAAATAAAACTTTTAAAATAGCCGACGTTCAAAGTTTATTAAAAACCGGTATAGAACGTATAAAACCTGAAGATTGGCAGAATGCTATTTCCTATGTAATTAAGGAAGAAAATAATATGTGGCGCTTGGACGGTATGATCTAAACGGTAGTTGGACCTTTAGTCATAACTTTAAGTTCCGATGATAAAGACGATTCCAGTGATAGTTCTGCAGAATCAATGGATTACGAAACTTCATAAATTTAGAATTCAAGTAAGTGATACCAAGCTTAATTTACATATTTTTATAATAAACAAAATACAATTATAAACATATATGAATTATTATAACAAAAATAGATAACCAACCTACTTTCATCTAGTAATATTCACAAATACCCATTTAATTTGCCAATATAGTATTTCTGCGACACTGGAAGAGTGCATTTTGATATAATAACGATACCTTTTGCAGTTTTAAGGCGCACCTTCTTCAATATTTTGTTCTAGTGTAATACCCCATTTAATTTTCCAATAGTGTTTCTACGCCACTGGCATAATATTTACATATTTTAACAATAAACAAAACAAAATTATAAACATAAATGATTATTACTACAAAAATAGATAACCAACCTACTTTCATATAATATTATTTACTATTACGGCATTTAATTTGCCAATAGTTTTTATACGCCACTGGCGTAATTAATTTTGGCAATAAACATGCATTTATGACTAGTTGGCACGTGATACCGATAACTTCTGCAGTTTTAAACGCGTGATTCCATTCATTATGCTCTGGTATAGTATTATTGTTGTACGTGAACAGGGAGGAATCACCTTCTTCAATATTTTGTCCGAGTATAGTCGACAAAAGTATCATAAATTCAAAATTAATAATTCTATTTTAGATCATGAGGGAGATAACACAGTTTCATTGCTTATTATTTTGACTTATTTCTCATTTGTGAAGTTTTTATTGTATTAATGACATGTATAAATCATTCTAAAAGGAAATGGTTTCCTTTTCCCTTGTCGGTCATGACGAACCTAGAAAATACTTATCTTTTGTGTGTTGTAAATATTTTGATTAAATAAAGTTGAACTTTTCGTTTTTTTTTTAAGTTTTTTATTACATACACAATAAAATACTTTTAACAAACTCATTTAGAACTGTTGAACTGTAGATGTTATTTGGTTTACGAATATAGAAATTGTACTATAGTTTCAAAATAACAGACAGTGAGAAAATTTCAGAAATGTTTAATAGACTTGCCATGTATCGAAAAAAGAATAATTTCTTGCACTACAAAAATTATGCAAAAAAATGTTTAAAATACATTATTTAATTGTTTGTCTTGAAGATTGCAATACTTAAATTTTTAGGTAGCTTAAATGAATGTAAAAACATAAAAATATAGAGACATAGGTACTACTTTAAAACTTAATAATTTATACAAAATTTGCTTCACATTTACAACACAACTAGGCTATCTACTAGCTGTCGATCAGTTTGTTACACGTTGCCATGTGTCTGGGAGTTTGTTTTCTCTCGCATTTTTTACCATACAATAAAACGGCCACGTTTGAATCACACTTCATATAGAAAATACAATGATATTTCATTTGCAGAGGCAATAATCACTTGTGAGTTCAGTTCGTTGTTTGGTTTTTGTTCATGAGGATAAATTGGATAAATATAATTCCTAAAAGTAATTTTATTGTAGAGTGGGGGATAAAGCAACTAGTTTCGGTCAGTGACCATCATCAGACCTGTGAGTAAGCATTGATATGATATTTTAATTCAAAATTAGAAGTATTACATGTTGTGGTTTTCAAATTTATAATTTGATAATCAACGTTTGATGAGTAAGGTCGGTCCTGGAAAAATTAATTTTTAAGAAAGAAATCAGGATGCCGACTATGAATTGTCAGAAATTTTTAAGAAATTGTCACATCAAAATTTGGAAAGTTGGGATTGTATATTAAAATGGATTATTGAATAAAAAAAATATTATAAGAATGGAATATGTATAGGATATTGTCAGTTGAAACATAAATAAAACAATTTAAAAAGGAAAGTAAGGTACATTTTTGTTATTAAAAGCAGTAAAGGAGAAAGAGTCAGGTAGAGCACCAGGACAGAAACAGATTTAGAGGATACAGAGGAAAAAGCAAAATAAGCAGTGAGGTGCAAATAGGGTACAAGGGGAAAAAGGAAATTAAACAGTGAGGCGTAAATAGTAGGAAGTCGACGAATACAAGAATAAGAAGCAAAAGAAAGAAACCTTTAGCATAGTTACTGAATTAATATTTTAATTTTTTTTTCTTTCAAAATTATTGTATGTAAATTCACCAAACGTTGAGGGAATTTTCGAGTAGATCAATTAAACTTGGAGGTAAGAATTTTCCTACTAACTAAAGTCCAAATCATTACATTTGTGTTGAACCTACGGACCCTGAGAGTAAGCAATAAGAGTTAAGTTATCGGGTGAGTTAAAAATTTTTTTTAATACATTACAAAATTGATTTGTCATAACAAAATTTTTTATATTTCATCAAAATTATATACATAATTTATAACTAAACAAAATAATTTTCATATCAGTATGTTGATGTAAATATTATATTGATTATAAGTTAAAACGTTAAAAAATGGAAGTTACAATCTAAGGGTTAATAATACATGAAGATTAAAAATGTTATGACCATCAAAATATTAACTTAGTACCTAAAGAGGTAAAAAAGACTATAAATATGTGTACAGTATTTAACAGTTAGTGACAATGAAAAAATGGATGAAAACAATTTTTAACAAATATTTGAGTAAGTTAATACTAAGTTATCGTTACATGAAATTTAAAAATAGTTATGACACTCCAATAATTCACATTGTCATTGACTGTTAGATACTGTACACATATTTGTAGTCTCTTTCAGCTCTTTATTATTGGAGTGTCATAACTATTTTTAAATTTCCTGTAACGATAACTTAGTATTAACTCATTCAAATATTGGTTAAAAATTGTTTTCATCCATTTTTTCATTGCCACTGACTGTTAAATACTGTACACATATTTGTTGTCTCTTTCACCTCTTTAAGTACTAAGTTAGTATTTTGATGGTCATAAAATTTTCAATCTTCATGTATTATTAACCCTTAGATGTCACTTCAAATTTTAACGTTTTTACTTATAATCAATATATTTACATCAACATACTTTCTTACATGGCTGATGATGGTCACTGACCGAAACTAGTCGATTCGTGCCCCCATTTTTTCAATAAAATTACTTTGTGGTCAAGACTTTCAAGTTTTTCCTTTCCTTTATGGTTAGTGTTTGTCTTATCTGTCTATTTATCTCCTACATCTTACATTTATGTCACCATGTCATTTCTAGTGACATTTTTATGGACAAAGATAATACAACACACCAATTTTTTTGTTAATTTATTTGCTTGCAAGCAATTTCTGAAAACTTACATGGTGGCAAAGGGTCCTCTTCTCTACCTTCTACGTTAGTTAAAATCAAAGCCCTATGAGTTCTTTCTGGAATGGATGGTAATCTAGTAGTACTAAGCCTTTGTAATGGTAATGGCATACCACCGCTGGCCTCACCATTCGTTTCTGGTCTCCATGGCCTAAAAAATAATAGTAGAATAGAAACAAGTACAGTTAATAATAATAATATTTATTGCTTCTAAACCTGAGTTACAGCAATGAGCACAGATATAAAAAACAACATTAATCATTCAGTACAAAAGAGCGCAATTTTAATATATTCCAAATATATTCAGCAATGTTCCTAGCTTCAAAAATTGTTATATTTTGTAAAGTATGCAGCAATGAGTTTACATTTTCAAGACAAGCGATATTTTGCTTCATTGTAGAGTAAATAGGGCAATCAAAAAGTATGTGAAAAATAGTTTCTTTTTCATGTGTATTACACACAGTACAGTCTAGTTCGGGATCAATAACATAACTAATACCATTTAATGTAAATTTAACCCTAAAATGGTTGGACATACGCAATTGACCAAGAGTACGGGTAACCTGGATTGGTAATTTAAAGAGTAAATATGTACTTGGTTCACAAGAGGTAGGAAGATAATTACATAAATACATAAAAGGATAGCGAGACGCTATACTAACATCTGAATCATGTAAATGTGTAAAATATTTGGAAAACAATTCTTTTCTATATGAACTAAAAGAAGGATGGTTTAAATTGTTCCATATATGAACACAATCAATATCAACAAAGAACTTTTTCAACTGTACTATCCAGTTATACTTTATATCTGTAGAGTTGATCAAACGCAATTGTTGTTTAAAACAAAGCTTTGGATATCATAATGATTATCCATTGTCATTATTTTTTGTATCCAATTAAGGGACATTTTAAAAATATTAAATGCAAACTTTACTCTTCCAGTCTCTAAACGGATTATTGCATCAGGAGTAGTGATGGGAACTAAAAGAACTTTTTTAAGGAAATATAACTGGACTCTTTCCAATACATCTAAGTATCTTAGGCCCCAAACAGAAATACAATTAAACATAACACTAAGGGCATTGACTCAAATAATTTAATTCTAGGGTGCCAAGTATTAATTTTAGCTTTCGACATTATCGGAATGAGAGAACCTATAGCCTGTTTACCTTTGTTGGCAGTAAAATGAGCCATTTCATTAAAGAGACCTGATAAGTAAATACTACTCCTAGATATGTATATTTATTAGTTATGGAAATAAGTTGGTTGTTAAAGTAAAAATTAAAGTTGGGCGTCCTGAAACCTCCCTTAGAAAATTGCATTATTTTTGTTTTCTGTAAATTAACAGTAAATTAACACTATATTTTTATAAAATTTTTAACTTTTTGATAATATTCATAGGTGGGTAAAATAGGGGAGGGGGGCTTAGGGTAAAATTAGTTTAAATAAATAGTTTAAATGTCGACAGTTAAAGAAATAAATTCTCATCAATCGTTTTATTGGGTCAAAGCCAACCAAACCAAAGTTCTTTAGTCACCGGTTTTCCAAGGCTAAAAAAAATTTTTTTGATTCCACAGGCCTACTAATTATTGTTTGCACTTTCAAATAACTTATCGAACTTATCATGACATTTTAAAATGCTTTTTTCTTGAAAATTGTGCACCCTAAAATGTCATCAGGACTTCACTTTTAACATCCTGTATATCGGAGACGAAACGTTTTCGGACCTATGTTTATATGAACTCTTACTCCTATTTTAGGATGTAGATTAAGCTGTTAAAATATGACCGTCTAATTTCTGGACACCCTGTATGTCTTAATTAGAAAAATCCTATTTATTACCCACACATTTTTTCAACTCTATAAAAGCCATATTCGCACATCCGATCAAATAGAGTTTATAACTTGAAAAACTTGGGTTTTGAGTTAAATAGATACAAATGCTCAAAATTAAACGGTGTACCATCTCAAACAGTCATATATGTAACTCCACATATTCGCCACTAGATGGCAAGATGTCACGGTTTATCAGTGAGGCCAATTTGTTCTTCACTGTTCTCAATTAGTGTGACATTTAGTAATGTACGTTTTTCAAGTTATAACTCTATTTTATCAGAGGTGAGATATTATGTATGATATATTAATACACTGCTACCTAAAAGATCTATTGAGCCCCCTTAAAAGAAGCCATAGTAGCACATTATTAATTACCTTGCTCCATCTCTATCAATCGGTTTCAGCCTTATCATAAGAGTCTCCAAATCAGGCTCTTCCTCGCTCCTGTCCCTCGGAGGAGTAACACCAGCCGGTACATCGCCGTTAACTCGAACGTCAGGCGGTTCGTTTGATTTGAGGTTAGGAGGCCGTAGATCCGACGTTCTAAGTTTCCTCGAATGGTGCGTCGGCGTTGGAGGACAAACCGGAGCATCTGATGGAACTGTTGTCGAATTCGCCACCCTTTGTAAAGCCTTAGATTGCGGTCTCATCATGAATTCCCTGCACTCAGCTCTGGGTCGGTGCAAAGGCGTATGACACGGTTCTTCTTGACTCGATTCTAATTCTTGCGTTACCCTGGTCAATGGTCTGTGCGGTTTGCTGGACAGGTCGATATTAGTGTCACCATCTACCATGTCAGTTGAGCATGAGCCCGAACCTGAACCCGAACAGGAACTTTGAGTTGATACTGAACTCTGACTATCCTTTTTTTCTATACCTATAATAAAATAATTAGGTATAGTAATCATATTTTTTTAATTAATCATTTAGCGAAATTTTACTGTTCAGATGTTACAGGAAGCCGGAGAATTTTAAATGTCTTATTGGTGACGTGTACCAATAAATCCAGATAAATAAAATGTATTGCCAAATGTCTATTAAAATGCAAATCAAAATATTTATATATTTTTTTGTGTGTTCTCCGCATGTTCTGTGTAGGCTTTGTCACTGTTTCCCAGTGCCACTTTAGGAACAGCACTGTTAATTAGAACCCAACAGTGAATGGTCGAGTAGGATTACCCACCGAGGTGAAAAACATTAAAACTAAAGGTAGGTTTTATATAATATTTTTAATTGATAATATTTGTCAACGTTTTAACCATTTTGTAATTATTCTATTTGCTGCTTATGAGCGCGAATAATAAAGAATATCTAATAGTAATTTAAAAACAATTTGCTTCTAAAAACCTAATTAAACGTATAAATGAAGGTTTTTCTTTACAGTTTGTACGTATATAGGATTAAAAATGAATATGCACTATTAAGTATAACTAATTAATGGAATATAATAGATTGTGCAACAAGTACACAGAACGATACTTTTCCAATGAGCACATAGGTTTGTAACAACAAAATCAAAACAATTACAAATCAAGGGAGTGGGTAAAGCGCTTTCCAAACTATATTTTTTCTACGAACACATTTTTGCGATAATACAAAATTTAAAAACATTTATTTAATTTACTTGGACAGTGTGACATAATCTTAACAAAATGTAATTTAGATACATATAAGGTACTTTAAGTGATTGTGATTTGTCCACTTTGTTCGTGGTAAATGATGTAGAAAAACGTCGTTTGAAAAGGGATTGTAGAAAATATAGATTTAGTTATTTTATGTTTCTTACCTAAATGAGTATTTTGTGGACTAGATTCTAAATCTTTGCTTTTGCTAAGGACCGTGCTTATATAATTATCACAGCCAATAAGTTTTTTGCCATTTTCTATTAAAGCGGCCTTTATTTTGTTATTGGTGTTTGTGGTTATGTCGACGTCTGAAGCTGAAGAGGTCGAAGTGGTACCTATAATAACGGAAAAAATTAGTAAAGATGAAAGTACCGGGTATTATATAACAAATAACTTAAAAGTTTATCTAAACGGTCTGGTAAAATCACAAATATTGCGTCTTGAAAATTGTGGGAAATTCTAATTAGATTTCTCAGACAATTGCATTGAAATATAAAATATTTTTCATTTATTTTCAGATTAACTTGCAAAAGAAATTAAAAGTTAATTATGTAAAGGAACAAACTGTTATTAAAGAATTAAAAATACATTTACGAGATTTTTTCCTAGGAGTCTATTCGATTAAAAGTGCCGTTGCTTAAAAATTCTCAGCTCGTTCATTAAAAACATTTTAATCTATAAATACAACAACAGCTCGTAAAAATAACTTGCTTATAAAATGTACACACATACATTCGAGCGCCGCTAATTGGAAATTAAAACATTTTAGGTAAAGATTTATATCAAATTTCCTGGAAAATAATTAACTTATTTTGAAAGAAAGTATCGAAAATTTTATAAAAAAAATACTTACCAAAAGATTTGTAATCTTCATCGGTATCAATTAGTTCAAAATTGAAAGTATCTTCCAATTTTTGAATTTTTCTAGGTTTATTTTGTCTTAAAACTACGGGAGGTGTAAAAGGAGTTCCTAAGGCATGACATCTCTCCAAAGGTTTGTGCAAAGTTCTTGGAGGTAGAGGAGGAGCTGCAGCATCTGTGGTAAAGTCCATACCACAGGCATTTTCTAAAAAATAAAAACAAGAACACTTAATCTTCCTACTTTTAAACAACAGTTTCTCAGATTATAGCTAATTTTTTATTCAATGGAGAAGATGAATATGGGATAAATACATCAGTTTCTTCATTCAGTAGGGCTTTAAAAGAATTAAAATTCAAGTGTATAAGCTGTAACATTTCTAACAGAAAATATCTGATGGAACAGTCACATTGTGGGATCGTGCAATGGACTGTATAGATGAATTCGTGTTTTGTTCAAAATGATTCGTGACAGTTTCAAAAGTATTTTTATTTATTTTTTCAATACAAACGTTAATCAAACATGGTCGATATGGATACAGAAATCAATTACAAAAATGTTGATAGGATTGCCAAACTAAATATTACGTACCATCGGTGACGTAACATAGCCGCCCACCTTGAAAGATTAGCTTTCAAACTAAATAACTAATATAAATAATAATAATTAACAAAACAAACTTCTATTCTTCGATTGGTAGTAGACACACCTTTGCTAACGATCTTCTCAATACACTGCCATTTGAAGTTTTGACTGAGACTACTCGTACAATTTCATCTCTTCCCCGGTGCAGCTCGACTATTCTTGCCATGTGCCAACGTAAAGGAGGTACATTATCCTCTACTAGAATGACTAAGTCTCCTACCTTGGGACCGACTCCAGATTTTAATCGCCACTTGTTTCTGGTCTGTAGCGTAGTTAAGTATTCTCTGGACCATCGAGACCAAAACTGCTGAAGTAACTGCTGCATTCGGTGATATCGTTTTAGTGAATTTGAATTAAACCCTTGAACATCTTCTTGAGGCAATGCGGCCAAAGAATCTCCAATTAAAAAGTGAGCGGGTGTGAGAGGTAAAGTATCATTAGGATCTATAGATAAAGGTGAAAGAGGCCTAGAGTTTAAACACGCCTCGATTTGTGTAAGTATAGTATACATTTCTTCATATGTAACTAAGGCATTTCCTAATGTTCTATTCAAATGAAATTTAGCACTTTTAACTGCTGCCTCCCATAACCCTCCTAGATGTGGAGATCGGGTAGGTATCATGTGCCAGTGGATTCGATCATTCCCTAAATAATTTAAAACTCGTTTATTATGATCAGCATTACAAAACAAATTATATAACTCATTTAAATGATTACGTGCGCCTACAAAATTAGTTCCGTTATCGGAAAAAATTTCAAATGGTTTGCCTCGACGTGAGATGAACCGTTTTAAGGCATTCAAAAAACTGTCAGTACTAAGATCTCTCACCAACTCAATGTGAACTGCACGGATAGCAAAACAAACAAATATACAAATATATGCCTTTACTAACTTTGGCTTACGTAGAGTACTGTCTTTTATCAAAATTGGACCGCAGTAATCCAAACCACAACGAGAAAATGGCCGACTTGGTGTAACACGTGAAACTGGTAAATTTCCCATTAAAAATTTTGCAGTTTTCGGATTCGATTTAAAACATTTTATACAAGTGCGAATGACTCCCTTTATAGCAGTCTTTCCATCAATAGGCCAAAATTTAAGTCTCATTATAGCCAATAAATTTTGTGTACCAGCATGAAGATTTTTAATATGCTCATGCATAATGATGAGCCGCGTTAATGCATGTCCTTTGGGTAAAATTATTGGAAATTTTTGCGAGTATTCTATATCAGCGTTTTTCAAACGCCCGCCTACTCTAAGGGTACCACTATTATCTAAAAATGGGTTAAGACAAAGTAGTTTACTAGTAGATCTTAATGTGCCGCTTGTTTTTAAATAACGTATTTCTTCAAAATATGATTGAGCCTGTGATAATTTAATCAGATGCATTAAAGTGGTTTCTAATTCAGTTGGAGTAAGTGCTAGGGATTGAAATTTTTGTTTATTTTTGATTACAAGTTTAAATCTAAAGCAATAAGAGACTATACTTAGTAATTTACTGAGCGAAGAAAATCTATTAAATATATCGAAGTCATCATTAGTTAATGTTAATATTACGCTTTGAGAATGTTTAATTTCGGGTAATTGTTCTAATGATTGTTTCGGTAATGGTGTAGTCGAGTACACGTCCTCATCTTCAAGTAAGAAATTTGGACCGTGCCACCATATATCAGAATTGCACAGTTCTTGAGGAGTTAAACCTCGGGAGATAACATCTGCTGCGTTATCCTTCGAGACTACATGCTTCCAATCACCCATGTCAGTAAGTTCTATGATTTTAGCTACTCGATTTGCTACAAATGTTTTCAATGTACTAGGATCTAAACGTAGCCATGATAAGACTATAGTCGAATCAGTGTAGAACGTAGTACTTGGAACCTTAATATCTAGTACGGTTTGCATTATGGCAACTAATTTAGCCAACAAAACGGCAGATAAAAGTTCTAAACGAGGTAGAGTACATTTAGCTTGAGGAGCAACCTTAGATTTAGCACATAATAAATTACTATGTTTTTTCCCGGTTCTGTCATTTGAAACTAAGTAGATGCAAGCTCCATATGCACTTTCACTTGCATCACAAAATCCGTGCATTTGAATTAATTGAGGTTCATCACATAAAACCTGTCGTGAAATAGTAATGCGTCTAACTTCACGAAGTTGATTTAAAAATGCATTCCACCAACGACGTAACTCGTCTGGCAAAGGATCATCCCATTTAATACCCTTTCGCCATAGGTGTTGCATAAAAACTTTAGCGCGAATTATAATAGGACCGACTAAACCGAGGGGGTCGAACAATTTAGAGATGGTTGACAAAACTATCCTCTTTGTACACGCGTTTGGTCGAACATCTAAATTTACCGCATAGTTAAAAGTATCTGTGTCAGTCTTCCACGCTACGCCTAAGGTTTTTAATTCCTTATCGTCGTGAAATTCTACTAATCGGTCACTATTGTCATTGTTATTATACTTGAGGATTTCTTTTAATATACATGGATCATTTGAAGACCATTTTCGAAACTGAAGGCCTGCACTTTCAAATATTGTAAAAATTTCTCTAAAGACTTCTAAAGCCTCATCAAAACTTTCTAAACTAACTAACAAATCATCCATGTAAATTGAAGTTTTAATAATTTGGCAAGTTCGAGGGTATTGTCCTTCAAATAGTGTCGCTAATTCGTATAATGTCCGTGTTGCTAGAAATGGTGCGCTAGCTGTCCCGTAAGTTACAGTATTTAGTGTGTACAGGTCAAGATTAGAATGTTCATTATCGCGCCATAAAATCATTTGATATCGACGATCGTCTGGGTGAATCCAAATTTGTCTAAACATCATTTTTATGTCTGCATTAAGTACATATTTACGTAAACGCAATCTAGTAATGATAGAAAATAAAGTATGTTGTACACTATATCCTATTAATAACGTATCGTTTAATGACACCCCAATATTAGTACGACTGGAGGCATTAAATACTATCCTACATTTAGTAGTAGTACTCGTCTGTTTTATTACAGCATGATGTGGAAGTATATACGAGGGCTGGTTAAGAAACGTATTAACATCAGCATTTGATATAAGAGTCATGTGACCAAGATTCTTATATTCATTCATAAATTGAATATAATCGTGTTTCAAATCCTCGTTTTTCGATAACTTGCCTTCAATTCTATTAAATTGTTTTACGGCAGTTGCATAACTATCACCATAAGTTTCCAATTTACATGAGAAAGGTAATCTTACTATGAATTTACCATTACTATCGCGTGTCGTGGTTTGACTGTAATATTGTTCTGCTAATTGTGCCTCGGGCGATAAAATTGGTTTATTGGGAACTTCCTCGATTTCCCAAAACTTCTTTAAAAGTTCATTTAAGCTTTCATTAGATACATTTGTATCTGCCTCCCGTGAAAAATTACAAATATTTCGATCGTTTAGATGATTCAAATATATAGTACCCGTGAAAATCCAACCTAATGTGGTTTCCTGTAAGATGAGGTTTGAATTCCTTAATTTGATTTGATTTGGGCACAGTAATTCATAAAAAATATTGGCACCTAACAAGAGATCAATATCTTCAGCTAAGTTAAAATTTGGATCTGCTAAGCTAATAGTTTTGTTATTAATTAGGGGGAAAAGATTAATATCAAAATCAAACGAAGGAATCCGTTCAGTTATTTTTGGCAAAACTAAAAATGATAATTCTTTCATAAACGCACTTGTTCGTGACTTAATAAGAGTTTTAGCCTTGTATTTAATATTTGTTATGATTTGATTTACACCTATAATAGGTGTAAGTATATCAACTTTATCCAAGCCTAATTTTTCACATAAACTGTTACTTATTAAGTTACTTTGAGATCCAGAGTCTAAAAGAGCTCTACACACATGAATATTTCCGTATTTATCGTGAATTAATATTTGAGCGGTTGATAACAAAACATACGGTCTTTGCGAATCTGAAATACTATGTAAAGTTTGAGAAGCTTCTTGAACGTTTGTCATGTCTCGTTGTGTTATGTCAGTTGATAATTTGGAATTTGACTGTGCGGGTGATAAACATTTTATGTTTTCTGTTAGTTTGGGGCCTTGAGTAGTGCGCGGTGCTTGGTTAGATTTTAAATTGTATGAAAGATTAGAATCGTGTGATTGGCTATTGTGTGGAAGTTGCATTTGATTGACTTGATTATTCTTGTGAAGCAGTGTATTGTGATTCTTATTGCAGATTTTACATTGACCAGACCTACAGTCTTGATTTCTGTGACCAGGTCGTAAACAATTAGTACATAACTTAAAAGTTTTTGCATGATTATAACGTTGTTCAACGGATAACTTAGAAAATTCAGGACATTGATATATAAAATGATTCTGCTTGCACAACTGACACATTGTGTGTAACATTAGATTAGTGTTTTCTGTAACCGACAAAGTGGCTATGGGCTTGGGATGAGAATGAAAATGGTTCTTAGAATATGATTGTGATGCTTTATGTGTTAGTGAGTTATTAGCGGCATTTTCCAATGAAAAGGATCGTTTAGTAAGAAAAGTTTTGAACATTTGGTAAGTTGGTAGTTCACTGGGATTCAAAGAGTCTTCCCAAGCAAGATTAGTTGCATGATCAAATTTAGAAGATACAATGTAGATAAGAACCCACTCCCATGCCTTACTTTCTAAACCAAGTTTCTCAAGCGCACAAACATGAGAATGAACATTGTCTGTCAATTCCCTGAGTACCGTTGGTGATGTTCTTGTCAAATTTGGTAAATTAATTATGTCTTTGATATGATTATTAATCATTAACCGCTTATTTTCAAATCGTTCAACTAACAAATTCCATGCTATATTGTAATTATCATCTGTAGTTTCTAAATTGGCAACTAATTTGAGTGCGAGATCCTTCAAACAAGTTTTAAGATGATGTAGTTTCTCTACGTTCCGTAGATTTTCGTTTTGATGAATTAATCGATTAAATGTATCGTGAAATGTGGTCCAAGTTTGATAATCGCCAGTAAAAACCGGTAAACGAATAGGTGGTAACTTTAAATTTGAATTATTGGGCGAGACATTTTCAATTAGACTGTTTTCTGAAACACTCGGTTTTACGGTCAAAATCAGCATTTTAGCCTTCGCAATAAGGTTATAATAATTATCCTCAAATTCAGTACGTGAACTTTCTTCAGAACTATCTAGTAATTCTAAGTCTGTTTGAATTGTTTCAAATTCTTCAAACGCGATTTCTATCCTTTTAAGGCGAATTTCAAGCTGAGTTATATCAACATTATCAAAAGAATTTAAAAATGACTCAAAACGTGTTAATTGACCCTTAAGGATTGACCTCCTTTTTACTAAATTTCTAATTTTTCCGCAGTTGTATCTGGTGCCATTATGTCGTCAAATATAACTTAAAACAATATGGTAATGCCTCAATTTTATGATGAAATGTATGATATGTATGTGACCTCAAAGAAGAAATATGTAATATCTAAACCAACTCACTTTCCAATGGTAAAGATCTTTAACCTACCTCTGGTACAGCAGCTACCTTTGTAGGTGACCAACCTTCCAGCGGGGACGACGACGAGAATTATCGTAGCGAGCCTTCCTGGTATCCGGCTCGAAGGACCAAAAATGTGGGATCGTGCAATGGACTGTATAGATGAATTCGTGTTTTGTTCAAAATGATTCGTGACAGTTTCAAAAGTATTTTTATTTATTTTTTCAATACAAACGTTAATCAAACATGGTCGATATGGATACAGAAATCAATTACAAAAATGTTGATAGGATTGCCAAACTAAATATTACGTACCATCGGTGACGTAACACACATGTTACATGAAAAAGATTATGTTTTTTATGAGATTTAAAAAAAATGAAAGTGATTCTCGTCGTCTCAATCCTGTATATCTTGATGAAACTTGGATATTCAGCAAAGGAGGATTTCGCAAAAGCTGGCAGGATGGTACCGATAAGGCAGTCAGAAAGAAGAGTGGTGAAGGTGTACGACACAGTGTTCTTCATGCGGGTTCTGAAAATGGGTTTATTAATGACTGTAGCTTGATATTTAAAAGTGGTAGTAAATCTGGCGATTATCATGATTCAATGAATGCTGATAATTTTGAAAGATGGTTTGAATATCAGCCTCTACCAAGCTTAGAAGAACCGTCATTAATAATAATGGACAATGCGTCGTACCATTCAACGTTGCTCGAAAGAATACCAAATGCAAGTTGGAACAAAGTTTCTCTGATTAATTGGTTAAAAGAAAGGAATATACAGTTTCCAATGCCTAGTGTGAAGTTCGAATTGTTAGAAATTGCCAAGAAACATGTACCAGATAAAGTATACAGGTATGTTATGATATGATATAATTTAGATTAGATAGATTAGCTCTTTTGCATGGCCATCGTGTATTGAGACTGCCTCCATATCATTGCCAGTTCAATCCAATTGAACTTGTTTGGTCTGAGTGTAAACGGTATTACGATGCAAAAATAACTTCGGCAGAACGTATTACTGCAGATACTGTAATTAGTGTTTGGAACGAATCTCTTCAACAGATTTAATGCAAAGTTTTTTCTTATGCTATGGTTTATAATTGTTATGTAATTGTAGATTACACCAGAAAAATGGAAGAGGTATGTAGACCATGCAAGAAAAATTATTGATGAATATTGGGAGACTGCAAAAATCATTGATGTAAGTAATATCTCTCCTGTATTCACTGATTTAAACGAATCGGATAACGAATCAGAGTGGGATGACAACTCCGCATAATAAACGTTTATTGTATTGTATTCAAAAATGGCTGTTGTTCTACAAGTTTAACGTTTTGTTAAATTTCAATGATTTCCAAGGTAATTAGTTTATCGAATAAAACTTATGTGATTTTTTAAAAAGATATAATTTCTTATTGTAGGTTTCATCCTTGTTGTCTTATAATAACTAATTTTAGGAATTTATTTACTAATGTTATATTATTTATGATAATAAATATCAATTAAAAATACATTTTGTTTTATTTTGTAATATTTTGATATTACAATTCTTATTAATTTCAAAGCATTTTCCTATTTGGCTGAATACGATCCTGACAACTGTCAAAATTTTGAAGAGTCGCCATCAAATTTCATGTAGTAATCAAAGACATGCCGAAAACATGATATTACGTCATATTTGGTGACGTGCAACTGAAAGGCTATGCAATGAACTATAGGAGTATATTAGAGTCTATGTTGTTCATAATGACTAAGTAAAAATTCAGTGATTTCCTGTCATGGTGAAAATAGGTGAGGAAATCCGTTTACCCTAAATATAAAACCGTTCCAGCATTTAAAAAAGCGCTACGTGCTATGTTTGGTACTGTTTTGCACAATTTATTAATTCCCTAAGTAATTTTCGAGGTAATTTCTATCTAGACTATGTTATTAAAGCAACTACAAACCTTCTGATTCTGGTGAAGGAGATGACGAAGCATCCCAAATCTGATAGTACTCCCTGCTAGGACTTCTTGGACTATTCGTCGACCGAACTTTCTTCTTGGTACCACCCAAAGTACTCATAGTTAAACCGTTCGGCGATTTTTTCTTCGCTCCGGATATAATTTGTTCGGAGTTTTCTAAATTTTCCAGAGAATTTGAAGGTTTCAAGTGAATTTGGTCACTCTCGTCCTGAAATGCGTCGTTTTCTATACCGTTGCATTTTTGCTTTTTGATTTTGATTAGTTTTTTGATTTTGTCTACGGGATGTTTGATTATCAACGGATCGGATTGGGCTATGTAGTCCAGTGACGTGCCGTCGTAATACCGGAAACAAAGTAGTTTTTCGCAATCTGAAAATGAAATAGTAGTTGGAGCAAAAATTTAATATTTTTAAACGATAAAGCAGCTGGAATATATAGTGAATTGATAAAATTGATCTATAGAAAATGATAAAAATATGGAGATGGCAAAGTCGCTTTGCATAAGAATCACCGGTAAGTACTCTCCATGTTACCTAAAAAAACTAGGCACCGAATGGCAGCACTATCGGAGCCAGCGCAGCGTCGAGCACGCCATTGTCACGGTCTCTGTCACATACAGTGTTGCCATTCGGTACCTGGTTTCTGGGGAAATGTGGAGAGTACCGGTAATTATTATGCAAAGCGACGTTGTCACATCTGCATTTTTCCCAGATCTTGGGGAAAAAACAAAGAAAATGGCGTGAACGGGCTTACAAAAAAAAAGGAGAAGTTCTTTAAAAGTCAATATATGTAGAAAAGAAGGGAAAATTAAAGAATAAATTTCGCTCCCGGTGGGAATCGAACTCATGACATTTGTTGTAGCGTACCAACATCCTAATCAGTAAAAAAAATGCCAAAAGTATGCAGGATAGGACTTATCGTACAGATTTATAAAAACGGTGGCTAATTAAGGGTATTTTTTACATAATATCATGGTGTTAATAATAATAGGTAAAAGATTGCAAAATTTTATAAATAAATAGCGGTTGATTAACAAAGGGCAAATCGACTAGGTATTGATGCGATATATACCGTAAGTATACATGCAGTAAATAATATTATTTATAGATATCAGACAAGCGTTTGATAGCATATCTAGAGAAAGACTAAATACAGATATGTATAATAAAGCTAGATATATCAACAAAATTAGCAGAAATGATAAAAATTCTAAAGTAAAGATCATCGGGAATAGTCAGGACATATAATGTTTTTTCTAACTAAAAGAAAGGATTGCATGGACTTATGAACATTTTCACGTTAAATGCTACTACAATTTGATAGCCAAACTTTTCTAACAAAAGTATTAAATTTGGGTATTTTTAAAATTAAAACTAAATTTTTAAGTCGCAATGAAAGACAATAGGTATTTGTGAAACTTAAGACATTACACGAAATTTGAAACTACTTACCATTATGTGTTTGAGGTATATCTAGAAGCCACATTGTACTTCGTTCTTGTCCGTAAATTTGCTGTCTAGAAAGACACTCCTCCAAGCTTGAAGAATCTGCAATGGAAATAAAAATATTAGGATAAAAAAGAATAAAGAACAATAAGAAAATTTAAATACGGTAAACGGATTTATTTTTTATACCATGGTAAGACAATTTAAAATAATTGAAAGTAAATGGTATTCGGTCCTGAAAATAACCGATACTGTCCTCTACTGTGAACACAAGTTAATAATTTGACATTGACGTTTTGCATTTCATGTCTAATATTCATCGAGGCCATTCAACATTCATCAAAACTGTTCTTTTATCCATCAGCAATTTTTAGATGAGTCACACATTATAATCTTAAATTCAACTTAATTCTCAGATGTTTGTCACCAAATCCATCGTATCGATTGTGCTGATGCAATGATGGATCACGTGACATAACCTTAATATTTTAATTATTATTAGATAGATAAAGAAATAGAAAAAGCGCCCCAAATTTTCAAAAATAATGAAGAAACTCACAGGGTTTTATTAACGCACTCTCCAAGTGGGCTAATTTTTAGAATAATAGATATATAGCAATCAAATGAAAGCAAGTACATATAAGTCATTCCTTCACTGAATTTACACCCATATCGGATTAAGAAACAGATGCACGACTGAGCCGGTCTACAGGATAATTTCGCATCAGGTAGTTGAGTAAAATAAGCGTAGTCCTCCGGTGGGTAGAGGGTGAATATATTTTAATTATTAAATACTTATATAGTATGTAATTATGTTTATTAAAATTAAATTACTAAAGTAATACACGAAAAAATGAAAATATTTATAATTTTGTTTTGTACATTGTTTATGGTAATACCATTTTCCCCGAATACAATAAACGCTTTATGGTCAGTCCCCTTCTCAGGTATAAAATTAAGATTAAATGTTCTATTTTTGTACTGATGTTATAGGACTAATTGCGCTAAATTATTTAGTTCAGTTTTGGATTTCGAAGAGAACGTATGTCGAAACTGAAAATGCCGAAGCCTGTGTTACGTGTAGATGACTTAATTTGTAATCTACATAAGTATTTTACGGCGGAAAAAGATAACGGAGGACCTTTAAAGCCAGTAGTGAGTGTGCATGAATCAAAATTAAAATATGTTTTGAAAAACGTCAAAAGCGGAGAGAGCAAAAAAAAGAAAAAATACACACCTCTCAAAAAACTGAAAACGTCGAATATATCTGGTGGGACAAAATTTCGTATTCGTGATATGGTGTATGAAATGCGTGCGAAAAAGGAACATGTTAACTTAGACATATTGCTGGCTAATTTAAGAGAAATACAAATTGGTGAATTTGGCAGAACAAGTCTTTGGAAGTTGCTTAAAGAAATAGGTTTCAAATTTAAGAAAGAAGATAATAGAAAAGCTTTATGTGAAAAAAATAATGTTGTTCACAAAAAAATACATTTTTTAAGAGAATACACTCGTTTAAAAGAGAATGGAGCTTCGTTTATATATTTGGATGAAACATGGATATTTTCCAAAGGTGAGACGAAAAGAATATGGCAAGATGAAAATATAAAATCAATAGAACATACTAATGGTGAGGGAAATTGCACGCAGGTGGAAAGAATGGATTTGTGGATGGTGCAGGATTAATATTTTCCTCTAAATTAAAATCAGAAGACTACCACGATAACATGAACTCGGATACGTTTATCAAATGGTTAAATGAAAAACAATTACCAAATTTAAGTGAACCGTCTGTTATAGTGTTAGATAATGCGAGCTAGCACACAGAACTTTTAAATAAACCGCCAAGACAGAATTGGACTGTAGCCAAAATACAAGAATGGCTACGTAACGAAAATGTTGCATTTCCACAATACGCCCTTAAATCTAAGTTGTTAATTTTAGCCAAACGGCATGAACCACCACAAATTTATATGGTAGATCAAGTCATACATAGTTATGGACATGATGTGTTACGTACCGTATCATTGTCAGTTTAACCCCATCGAACACATTTGGGGTATATGTAAAACGTATTATGACAATTATATTGGAATTAATGGTTACAGCGACGAAGCAGTAAGGGAAATATGGAAACAAGCACTGGATACATCAACCCCAGAAATTTGGAAAAAAAGTATTCAAAAATGTGATAAATTAATTAACTGGTGTACACGTGAAAACAGGATAAACGAAATTAACCCTATAATTATATCCCTTAATGATGACAGCGACATAGTGACACAAATTTGGAGAGTGATGCTGAAGATTTATAGGTATGTCAAAAGACAATTATTTATAATAATCACTTTTTAATATAGAATTTTAAAAGTTATGTTATTTTTAATCGTCGTACTTACTTAATCGCAGGGTAAAACTGTGTATGTAAATTAAAATTTTTGTTCTGAATAAACTATTATTAAACAACAAAATCATGTAACTATCTCTTTTAAGCTTTCTGAAGCAAAATTAAATACCTAAAATTTATATTTATTTTGTATAAGAACCCCTTGCAATATACAAAATAACGCCACCCATGAGTAAATGTTTAAAATACAACTGACCAGTCAAATCTTTCATTTATTTCTTAATCCGATATGGGTGTAAATTCAGTGAATGACCTATAGTAAGAGTACATACTTGAGCAGAAAATTGAAAAACCAAAAATTGTATGAAAGTTTGTTCCCAACATTTTAAGGAACATTATTATATATTAAAAAATGTTTATCAAATATCAAAAAAATGTTTACACAATTTCATAAAACATAAAATATTGCAAAGCTCTCTTACAAAATTTCTATGTCCATAAAATTCGAATAAAGCACCCTCCCACAAATTGGCAATCATTTTTTATTTCAATTCAATGCCCATTTGTAGGCGGAAGGGAGGGGGGGTCCGAAGGGGGCTTAGCCTCCCTCCACGGTAGTAAGGTAGACCTAAACCTGCGCATCAGATTTTAAGTACACTCTAATCTAGCAAAGTTCAAGCCCCTTCCCAAAAAAAGTTATTTCGCCGCTAAAATACAAATGGAAACCTTCAAAAATATTGTCTTTGAGTAAGTAGTTCCAATGTCAAGCACAGATGACGTTAATTTCAGATCCCAATACAATGAATAAAAAATAAACCGAGATCTTATCACTTGAAAGTGAATGATTATTTGCGCATATTATTAGAAATACTACATATCGGAAATTATACATATATTAATAATTGAGTTCTATGAATGAATGGAAATCTAACAGAAATGTTTATTTATTTTTTGCGCTGTTGTAAACTAACTATTTTATCACGAGCATAATCCAAAAATATCCGAATGTAAACATTTTCAACCAACGAGAGCGAGAGTTAACTTTGTTTCACCATTTAGTAAATTATTTTCGTATAATTTGAAGCACTAAAGAAAGTTGTAATCATTACTCAAAGGAAACTAATAAAAAAATACGATTTTTACCCCGTCTCACATTTTTTTACAAACCAAGATTTATACCCCTTTCCAATTAGTAATAATACCAAAATAATCAAAAGATTTTAAATAAATACTTTTGGAAACATTATAAAGGGTGTTTTTTTAAGGATGATAGAACTTTACATGACAACTACTGACAGACTGAACTGTCAGTCTGATGCTGTTTATAAAATTTATATTCAGTATACTTTGGCAAATCATCATGAATAGATTTAGAAGATATTGATTGTCTGTGGTACAATTGATACGACATAGTTAATAAAAAATTGAAATCTCGAGATCTTATAACTTAAAAGTTAAAAAATAACAATGAATAATCAATTAATGACTTTATATGACTTTGCACATAATATTATTATTATTTATTAGCACTTAATATGCATAAATACTACGTATTTGAAATTATACCTACAATATATTAATTAATTTCTATGAATGAATGAATGAATGGAATTTTAATAGAAATGTTTATTTCTTTTTTTGCGCAGTTGTAAAATATATAATTTATCACGAGCATAATCCAAAATTACTTAGAAAAAATATCCGAATGTAAATATTTTCAACCAATGTCTACTCGTATTATGCGAATAACTTTGTGATAATTGATTAATGAAACATCGTGAATATGCGCAGGTAGTAAAAATAAATAAATTAAACATCGCAGAACAATTATTTTAACATAAAATGTTCATTGTACACTTTGAAAACATTTCATTTTCAAGTTATTTCTAGAGATTTTTGAAGAAAAAAGGTGCTAAATATGGTGTCACGGGAGGGAAAACAATTCCATGTAATATTTTAACTTTAAAACTCGCATTTAGTTCAAATTATTTATCGCCAATGTTCTACTTTATTAAACAAAAATTCATATAATAATAAAAAAGTGTATCATAATTGTTAAATATTTTTACGAGATAAGGGTATTATTTATTTGTCTTTTCCAGCCACAATAACAAAAAAATTTCTATTAAACATGATAAGCGTGTTTGTATGATATTATATCGGATAATAACACTAATTATTAGAAATATTTATTTATTATAATCTTTTGTTAATTAAATGTTTTTTTCCGAAAATACTTCAGGGAATAAAAGTATTAATTGGAAATTCCCAATTTCATATTATAGTAGGTCTGGTAGTCTAAGTAAGTATAGTATTAAGTAATATACAGGGTGGACCAATCTTGTGGAAAAGTTCGATATCTTCCTTGTTGAAAGAGATATTAAAAAAGTGTATTAAGAAAATTATGGACAGGTTTGAGGGTCTGAGTATTGAATCTCCCTGTATACAAATAAACAGATAATAAAAATATAACTAAAAAAAAGTATAATACATCATATTATAAAATTCGTGTGGGTAAAAAAAAATGTTTTTCTACAGTGTGTAATTGGCTGCTGGACGTTGAATTATGTACGATTCTCTCACAAAAATGTCAATTCCTTGAAAAGACATGAAGATAGTTGAATTAATATTTTTTTCGGTGTGGTCCAATATTTTCAAAGTGGTACATAGTTATCCCATCTTTAATAATGATA